CAGGAATGGATGTGGACGTGGCTTTCGCTTCACATACCTGATGTTATACCCCGTACAATTACCTAAAGAGGACAGTCTGGCCTTGTGAGATAAACCCTGCTGTTGACTCAGACAATGCATTTGCTTTTTTTCCTGAAGGAGGCTTTGAATTGGTCCGGTTTAGACCACTGCTTATGTAAGGATTACGTATGCCCTTACTGTAACTCAGTGTGGAAAAACCTCCACCCACTCTACTTTTCCTCTGCTCTTTCTTTTTATTGTTTTATTCTGCCCTTTTTTTTTTTTCTTGGAAGTTACAGGTACACTCTTAGGTTAATACAACATGTAAACCCTGCTTTAAAAAAAAAAAAAAAAAAAGCGTGAGACCACAGGTTTGCAGTCGGGGTGGGAACAAGGTCAGCACTTAGTGTTTCTTGTCTGCTCTTCCTCTCTTGTTGCTCCAGATAGCCCTGGCAAAAACGCTCATTATTTCCCCAGTTCTACAGCTTAAAACAAGAGATGGAGGTTTGAGCCTCGGGTTGCATCTCCGCTGTGCTGGTGTCTTGCAGTGCAACTCTGGCGAAGCACCTGCATAGCGGTTTGCTCGGCCTTAGAGCGGCGCAAGTCGTTCTTTCCCGACACCGGCGTCGCAAAGTTTCTCTAATGCAAACGCCTCGAAAAGCTCTTTACTCAGCACTGTATCAAACGCTGTCTATATATAAAATAAGTGTTTGTTCAGGTTTCTGCTGTAAGATCGAGGCCTGCTTGGGATTAATAGACAGCCCATAGGCGGTAACGTTTAATACAAGGGAAGTCGCCCTCGTTCCTTAGACTGCTTTGGTTTTAGAAGACCTAACGCTGAATCGAGGTTATCATAGTCCACTTAGATGTGCCGGAGACTAGGAAGAATGATTTGCTCGCGTCTTTTTTTTCAGTTTTGTTGTTGTTGAGTTTTTTGGGGGTCTTGTTTTTACCTTAAAAGATTTAGTGTTCTTAACTGCACAGAACGCCTGGCCGTAAGAAGGCGGCATTAGCAGACAGCGTCGTAGGCATTGCACGATCTCCCCTGTCACCAAGCTTGCTCAAAGCACGAGGAAACTGTTTCTGATTCGGGCAGTGCTTCTGGACAGCAAATGGGAGTTTAAACATCATCTGTACTCCGGAGACCTTTTAGCCAAATACTCTCATGTTTGCAGACAGATACGCAGGTATTTTGGACTTGCGTGAAAATATTTTGTCATCACCCACCCAAACCTCTAGATCCTGTTCAGTAACAGATGTGAGATTTGTCCCTCGTTACCATTTCAGCAATGTCAGAAGCTACATGTTTGAAAGCTGTATTTCATTTAGGACCACAGCTTCTCCTTTTGCTGATGAAAATAAGAGACATAGTTTAAAACGTGCATATTAGCTCTGTGCTGTAGTTTCCATTGAAGGAGGGAGGGAGGTAAAGGTATCTATAACCGCAAGCCACGTGTCCTGTTCTCTCTGATTTTTGGCGGGAGATAAGGAAACGTGTCAAAACCTTTACATAGATTTTACTTTCGGAAGGATTTCCCTTGTCGTGGTACACATGAATTTGGGGTAAACGGACTTACTCTGATGGTGGAGAGCTCCCCTGTGCCAGAGGAGTTATGGAAACTCAGGAGAGGACGTCATCTGCTCACTGGTGTTCGTTAGAGAGATCCAGAAGTTAATGCTCAGATACTGATCTCTTGCTTGCTTGTTTGCGTGCCTGCTTTCTTTGGCTGTTCTTGCAATCTGTTTTCATTGCAACCCATTTCCAGAATAATTCGGACTAGTCTTTCCATAACTTATTAATTAAACGTGTAGTAGGTTTTCAGGACACCAGATTCATGGTCAGTAAGACTCATGTTGCAACATCGCTCCTTGCAGTGCTGAAACCACTTGCCCTAAAACTGAGAGTAAAACATTCACGCCTTCCAAGCAGTATCATGTTCCTTAAAATGGATATGCCTCTTCGTTATTACTAGGAAACATCGTATATCTTTTTATTATTTTTTAAATAGGAACCAGGTATTCTTCTATCCTAGATTTAGAACATCCTTTACTGTAATAGCATTCATCAGTTTTGATCATGGAAAACTTTCTTTTACATGATTGATTTTTTTTTTCCTGTAAGTATTCATCAGGCAGAGGAAGGATCTTTCATTTTAGAGTTAATGAAACATAGTTAAAAGGTTAAAACCAGGGTTAAAAGGTGAGCTTGATACTAATAGCAGTACCCAGTATTTTGACACAGAAATGTACTGCCCCTGACCTTCCAATGTTGTTTGGGAAGTCTGAGAAAGCTGCTTTATGGAACTTGATAAATATATAGAGTTGATCATCATTCCTTGTTCGGTCCTCTAATACGCATGCTGAAAAGTAGGTTGGGCTCTCTTCCTTATGTGGAAATTCAAGAAGGGTGAATAGATTATGTTTCTCTCTTCAGAGCATGGATTCTCTAGGTAATAAATCTAGTTTACTCTTTTTTTTTTTTTTTAGATCCTTGCTTACTAGACAAATATGATCTTATGTGACCCTAGAAACATTGTCAAAAGAAAAAGACTTTGCATCCCGTGTTTGACTAAATTAAAAACTGTTGCAAACGAAGGAGGAAAGCAGATTTCTGTCTGCAAGGTGAAGCTCACTTTAGCTTAGGGAAGTCCAACGTAAGAGGCAAATCAACGTCACTCTTAGGGTTGCATTTCCAGGGCAGGTTTTTTTTCTACCAGGCAGAACGGAGGCTTAACAGTTAAAAAAACAGCTGTCTGGATCATCCTTGTGTAATGGCCTAATGAATCACAAAATACTAGTAGCACTAATTCTGGGCTGTTTGACACTGGCAGACCTCAGCCGTTTTCTACGTGTGTGTCCTGCAGAAAGAGCGTTACTCTAAGGCAGAGGTCCAGCCTTTGGTGATTACGCTTGGAAAGTTGATCTTTTTTTATGTTGTTGAGCAGCCAGATTCACAACTGCTATAAATTGGCATGAGACGCGCCAGTCGGTGGCCATCGCTGACCTTACGAGGAAATTTTTTTTTTTTTTTTTTTTTTTGCTGTCTTGCATCGGACTTTGGTTGTTAAGTATCCTTTTCTGTGTTAAGACAGCTGATGGGTCAGCAGGATTTTCTTATTTATGGTTGCACACAAAGGTAGTAAAGGGGGGCTAGACTTTAAAAGCGGCTTCACGGGTGGTGGTGAGTCACGAGCCCGTGTTCTGACCTAGTTCTGTGGCGTGTTCGAGTTCGCCTGTGTTGTCCAGACGTGGTGTTTCCCTGCACGGGCAAAAACTGCCAAGTGAAAAAAAAATGCTCAAGGACTTTTCCTGTGCACACTTGGCACCATCCGTCCTTCTGTGAATGGCTGTGGGGAAACAGGCCCAGCGCACGAGTGGTGTAGGTCTGCCCTCCTCCCGCAGAGGGAAGGGTAGATGGCTTCCAGCGTGCCAGCCGGTGGCTTTCCGGATTGCGCAAAATATGCTTTGGTTGCATTTCGCAGTGGTGTTGACTGAGTTTATTTCCTGTTCTTCTGATCCTCTTAGTTTACAAATGACCTTCATTAGCGATTCCTCCCCTCTGCTGTGAAGATTTTTAATGAAAATATTTGTTTTCAGCTTTCCAGAGGCAAATATCCATTATACAAATACTGTCGTCCTGCATGCCCGTTCCCTGTTATGATGACTTTGTGATTCTTGAACAGCCTTTGGAAATAAGAAATGAAGAATTTTCTTGCTGACAATTTAATTAGTGGCTACTTACCTTCAATGTGAATTCTAATTAAGTGAAACTGCCGTTGTGTGTGTTTTTAACTAGCTTTAAGAACTGTACTAACCCTTAAAATATACAAGCAGCTGTAAACTGCTCTAAAGAGGCAATATAAAAGTATTGTGCGTGGTCTTTAACAAATAAAGAAGCTATAGCTCTTTCTATATACTTAATCATTTGTGGGAACAGTGGCCCATAATGGAAAATTGCATTTAATTAGGTCACTTTCAGATTGATCATTTTTGTTAAGATCTACCCGTATAATCTGACTATATGAACGTTTTCCCACTTGCCAAGAAAAAACGTATTCATTTGAAAACACCTGGGAGCGTATTGAGCTTACAGTAAGGGTTTTGCTTTAACCTATATCATGCCGGCACTTAATTTTTGAATTGATGTTCTGAAGGGATTTGATTTTCTGTGTTGACTTTCAGTAGGAGTTATTCAAGCGCCCAGTTCTTTTAAAATTAAAAAAAAAGGAAAGATGAAAAATGTAAGTGGAATCGCTACTATTGTATCTTCTGAATGTTCATTTTTGAGGGCAATACGTAAGAGAGAGAATTTTTTTCAGTGGGATTTAATTTTGGTAGTCTTTACACACAGATTCTAGAGGATTTGAGCTCTATCTGACTTTCTCCTGCCTTGCTTTATATGACATTATCTTAGGGTGATGACAGCAATGGTGATGACAGTAGTTAATACAGCTCTCTTGCACCATCGTGATGGCAAGTCACTTTACATTTCGCAAATGCGTTTATTTCAATGTGGCTTTGTTCCAGTGAGAAACACATTTTGTTTTTTCCTCTTCTCGTCTCTGAGCAGCGATTCCCTGGAGGCTACCCAGCCCGTTGCTTTTGCCGCCGCCTCGATGAGGAACATGCCCGCGAGCCAAGAAAACGCGGATGCTAGACCTGCGCCGGCCAACACCGCATCTGCTGCAGCCGTCAAGCCAGCCGGACCCCAGAGTGCTGCCAAGTACTCGGGCTGGCAGCCTTCGAACCGAGCAGGTAACTTCCCCCGAGTCTCTCCCTCTTTGGCTTTGAGACCTTTGGATAGATCGTTAAAATATCCTTGACCGTAGGTGCAAAAACAGCTGCCTTGAAATGACCGCTTGTGTGTTCTGACTGCAAGCTGGTGCGTTTAGAAAACAGGAAAAACACAACTTGGTTTTAGTAAACCAGTAGAGTTTTTTTGTAGGTAGCCTTATAGATTTAGCTGATCTTATTTAAAAAAAAAAGAAAGAAAGAAAGAAAAGAAAGGAAAAAAAAGTGGTGTCCCTGACCTTCTCTTAAAGGCATATATAACAGTGGAGTGTATGCCTCACGGTTTCAACCTGGCATTTCCCACCTGGCTGTAAGTTAAACGGATCATGATCTGTCCAATTTCAGGGCAGACAGACGGGCGTGCTTTCCAAGCAGTCTTCCCTGAAATAGATTTTATATGCTTAAAAACAAAAAAAAAAAATAGGGAAAGCTTAGGGTGGTTACGTATTTGGCGTTTGTAGGTTTTGTTCTCGAAAGATGCCAGAATATTGCGTGGGTTTGTGGCGTGAAGAATTACTGAAAGGCTGGTACTTGCTAGGACGATGTACGTGGTTGCTGTCTTTGACTGTAGTTTGGTGATTCTTACGCTGTTATGCAAGCACCAGAACGTCTTATATCTGGAGACGATGCCTTTTTCTTAATAGAAGCGCCTTAGGTATAACTATATCCGTATTAAGAAATGCAATATGTGAAACTGTGTACCTGTATTTTCGTAACGTTACGTGCAGTAATTTGAGAGAATCTTTTAATGTAATTTGTTTCTTAAATTGAATCCGTCTTTGGCGCTGAACTAAACTTGAGTATTAATTTCTGAGGATCCAGGAAATCTGTGTTACTAATTAAGTTTTCACCGCAGCGTCTCTTGGAAGAATGAGATGAATATCCTCCGTTCGGCCTCTGACAGGGTCTGAGCTGCTAGATAGCGTTTTTTGAGTTCTGCCGTTAAGGATTTTGCCCTCTTAAAAGGTATTTGCAGTCCAGAAAATAGACCGCAAAGATCCTGGCGTAAAACTAAAGATAAAAACAGGTGGTATTAGTGCTATATGTTTTTATAACGGGCTCTTTGGAACGCGTGGTTAGATTACTGTTAGTGCCGGTAGGAGCAGACGGATGGATGTTGTTTTGGACGTGTAGTACTGCCCGCGGTCCTGAAGATGGCAATATGCTCTCACGTCGCGCCCGGACTCTCAAACCTCAAGTCTCTTCTTAAGGCAGCAGGAACGTGACTGACGCAGCAAAGACTTACTTAGACGGGTTTATTTCTAGCGCTATTTTACTTCTTTGAGTTAGCTGTAATTGGAAAAAAAAGAAAAAAAACCTTCTGTCTTTCTAAAGTTAGGTTTTTGGTAGCAAGCGTACTTTTAAGCCAACGTTTGTTTGTGGGAATATAATTACGCTTTTAAAAGAGTGATGCTGACGGTATAGCACGTTTGATTTTGCTCTTTCTCCGCGTCATTTCTGCTTGCCCCACCAAATGACTGGCTGATTTCACTCGCGCAGAAACCCCCCCCCCCCCCCCCCCAACCGCGGGTTACAAAACCCCTTTCGTGTGTCCGTGGGTGTTTCTTTGCTAAATCCTGCTGCTGCGCTATAGTATTTAATACAAGTTTAATGCTGAAGTGTGTTTTGGGGTGACGAGTGCGGCGTGAAGGAGAGATTCATAAGGGACGGGTGAAATCACCCTTGATTCCACAGTCCTCTGGAAATCCGTACCTGTGCTCTGGATAGTTTGTGAAAACCGCTTTTTTCACGTTAGAGGTACAAAGCAAACGGGCGAGGGGGGAAACAGCCGGAGAATTTTCGGTTGTTTTGTCCTAGAGCAGTTTAGAAAGTTGTGAACGATTTCAAACGGGCAATTTCAGCACGTTTAAAATAATTTTGCTGCTCTTGGAGCTTTCCAGGCGTTTGCCCCGGTTTTTCACGTAGCTGTTTACTGGAAAGGGAAGGCTGTGTTGAAGTGTTGGCGTTTTCGGGACCCTGGGATTTATTGCGCTAGGAGAACCGGGAACAGCCTCAGGTCCGCTCAGTGTCCGGAGAAGCGAAGTCGCCCCCTTCTCCAGAAATATTCAAGGAGCCAGAAATGAAAAAAACAAAAAAAAAGTAGCGGAAGGCAGTTTCCTCGCTCCCGTACGTCACCCTGGGATGCTACGCGGACGCAAGGCCGGTGCCTACAGGCGCTTTGGTGCTTAGCTTGGTTTGCTAAGGAAAGGAGCCTTCTGTGATCCCCCCCTACGCGTGTGTATCCGCCTGTCCCACCTAATGCCCTTTTAACCCGGCTGCCCGTTTCAGCGTCTCGCGCTGGATTTGCGGAGGCGTTGAAAATGCAAAGTTTCGTGAGGCGGCAGCGTGAATCGGGACTTTGTTAGACGCCCAGGAATTAATATGGGTTAAGATGAGTTAAGAAGGGACGCACCTAGCCTAGCCGGTAACCTGATTTCTTAGTTAAAAGGATATGCATTTCACAATTTGATTGAAATTCTAGCAGCTGCTAAGGTGTCTTAGGCTTGATTAGCAGTTACACGATGGGTTTCACTGCACATCTGCCCTTTAAACCTGACATAAGCTCACCTCTGGTTTTATATGGGAGGCGTTACCCAAGTCATCCAAGAAGTCAGTAATGCAAAACCAGCAGCTGGAAAGGGCCTAAGCGCGGTTTACAGCAGCATTGCAGCAGAGACTGTCTTTTTCTCAGACATAGATTTTACAAAAATAGAAATACCCAAGCTTTCGCCGCGCCTAAGCTTACACAATAAGGTTGAAATCAGCAGTTTTTCTCTGACAGGTAAAACCATGTCAGTGGCTGAGCGTTTTGCTAAAATTAGCGACATGTTGCAGAAGCAGGAAAAAGGCTACAACCGTTTCAGAGTCCATTTGGTTTTAAGTCACTAGGCTCATAGACTGCAAACAAACAGCAGAATTAAAGTTTTTTGTAAATTAAAATAGCCATTGCTTCATAGGCCCCCCCCCCCCAAAAAATGACTTTGTAGGCCCAACAAAATTTTAAACAAATAACTCCACCCCTCCCGCGCCACCTTGGAGCCTACTACTTGGTTTCCTTGCTGAAGTCTGTCTCAGCAAATAATCAGGAGGAGGCCATAATCTTCTATAAATGTGCATATGCATAGTGGTAGGCTATTAATAGCAGAAACTTATGTGGAGCACTGTTGCGTAGCTCTAGGAGCACTCACTCTTTTACCGACTATTGTATGTAACACCTGATTGTTTCCGCAGCAAAGCAGACGTGTCACAGGATTTTGTTTGTGTCTAGGGAAGCTGTAGTCTGCTGTTTTATAGCATGGCATGGTATTACCAGTGATATTTATTTATAAAGATGCCCAGCTACACAGGTAACTCGTTCACTCAGAAAGCATCTTTTAGCTTATTAGCTGGAATCTCTCTTTCTCAAATAGGCCAGCAGATAATATGCTTTATGCTATAATTAGGGTGGTGGTTTGTTTTTTCGTGTATGGGAGGATTTTTTGTTCATTTTGTTTGGTCTTTGGGGGGTTTTGTTTGTTTTCAAGGTTGTGCAGGGATGCCTAAAGGTGTCGGAAGAATTCGTGGCAGTTCTTGAGGTGTCAGACCATAGGCGCGATCGCTGTTTCGTGATCTAGCACAGAAAAAGGTGCGGAGGAAAAAAAGCTAGTATAAAATTATGGGCTGTCCCAGCTCACCTGGGGATGGATGCTTGAGGCAGTGAGTACACCAGTTAGTCTCGGTCCGGGTGACCTCGCAGTGGTGGCACCCTTGGAGTTGGACCATCTTCACTTGCTGCTGGAGGACCCTTGTGGATGCTTTCGTGGTACCCGTGACCCGTGCTGAGTATGGGAGTGCAGCGTGCTCCCAGGCGGCAAGCTCCTGCCTTCCCCCAGAGCGTATGCAGTTTCTTCTCTCTAGGATTAGTGAAAAAACCCTGTTTCCGACATCTGTATGAATCAGTTTATTCATCTCCCGGCCTTGTTCTCCAGACCTTCTGTGTGGCCTCATTAGGAGCAAAACTTCACATGTTGCTCTATGCGGACAGCGTAAAGCGCTGTGGGTAGCCGTGGCCGCTGCGAAGGGTAAGGGCCAGGCTAGATGCTTCTAGAGGCAATGCTGGTGGGCTCGCAGCTTGCCAAAATGGTGGTGTGATGCAGTCAGGTTAAATCCAGCTCTGTATGTTAGGACTTACTCGGTTGCTCTCCGTGGGAAAATTCCATGAAGGGTGGTTGAAGCACTTAAGTGCTTCTTTGAAAACATCTGCAGAAGCTGTCCACTTAGAGCTGTTCCACTATTGTTATTTTTCAAGGACTGCTGATACCTACCTAAAAGGGAATTACTACATGTTAGTCACCCAGCACAAAGGTAACATAGGTTTTGTTTCTCTGTGGAATAAAATCCTGTTGTTACAGGACTGTTTGTTGGTAAGGAACCTGAGGGCTTCCCCACGCTTATCTCTTATGTTCACGGGTAAGAAGTTGGACGTGAGCATAAGCAGGCTATAAGCCCTGCATGTCACAAAACAAAACCAAAAAGTTTGATCTGTAGCACTTTGGGTGCATGCAGAGTTGAAGCGCTGGGGCACGGGAAATCTCATGCGTGGGGTGTGCACACAATGCGGCGGTGCAATCAGCCGGGACAGCGTTTTGGGAAGAAGGCATTTGCCGTGGGTTTCTCTTGTCTGTACTGCTAATTCTTTCTGTTGCTGAAGTCAGTCAAATTGTGGCTGCTACCGTACGTTAAACAAGGGCCATTATAAATGCTAGCCTTTAAACTTAATTTATGTGAAGCTATGATGTCTTATTCACCCAGCAGAGGGAGAAGCTTTGGTGGAGAATATTGTACTCAGTGAGTTATTTTACTGTTCGGTAGCTAACTATTATCTTACGCTTAGGTAGCACCATTTGTCCCCAAGGAAGCCCGAAGCATTTTACGGCCTCGGTACTGCGTGCGAGCCCACGATGCACGCACGGGAATTGCTTTGG